AAAAATATCATTGGATGTCAAAGATGATATGTGCTACACCAAAAAACATGTAGAATGGTGGAGACATTCTCCCGAAACCTTAGCCACTCTGTAAGTTTCTAGTAAAATTATTTGATAGTTTGTCACAGGAAATATACAAACCAGAACATAAATTTTGAAATATTTAGAAAATATTTTGTGGTCTGGTCAAGTTTATGATTACAAAAATTCTAAATAACAAGAACAAAAAATAATATTAATAAAAGCAATTAATTGGTATTAGAGGCTCGTTGGAAGTCTAGTTTTTATTCCTTTGCTTTTATGACCAAATATATGATTTTATCTGATATTTTATATGATTATTATTTATCAAATTTTCGATGGAAATGAAGAGATGCCCTTGTTATACCCAGAAAATCTAATCTGCTTAAAATAATTTTTCAAAATAAATATTCAAATATACTGTTTTTAGTAGGATAAATTTCCTGGTGTAAGTGATAACATTAAATATTTTTGCAAATAATTTTTTATGTTTTCTCTACGAATCTAGTCAATCTGACAAGTAAAAGTAAATAGTGGTGTATGGCATCGTGACTTGAAGCAAATTGCTAGAACTTTCCGTACTATAATGAAATATTCGAGTAATAAAATTCAATAAAAAAAATATTTTTTGAAAAATAAGAAAAAAAGAATTTAAAAAAAAATTTCTCCAAAAACAATCGTTTTGTCAACACAAGCAGAAAGTTTTCTGAATCATTTAAATCGGATGCTTGATATTCTCAGAAACTGTCATTTTTTGCATATTTAGCTTCGTATCTCCGAAACGATAACACCTGCCTTTGCCAAAATCTAATCACCACTTCTCCTCATAATTACAAATTGAATACTTTTTGGATCATTCAAATCGGATGCTTAGTTCTCTCAAAAACTTGATTTCTATTTTTTGCACTCTTTGGTTTGTACCACCAGAACGGCTAGACCTGTCTTGGCCAAAAACTATTCAGCACATCTCTCTATCAATAGGAATAAAATATTTTTTTATCCATTCTAATCGGTTGAGCGGTACTCCTGAAAACGTCGACGAAAAAAATGTATCCTCACATGCATACACACACGCACACACACACATCATTTTTTTTAAGTATGCCAAAATGTTCAGAAATCTCTAAAACGTGAAGATATGCAAAAAATTTAAGCCCATTACTATAACTTACCCTACGGGAAGTTGAAAAGGTACAATGCCACTTACACCTAGTTCTAAATATTTTTTGAACGTAACAAATATATGAATAAGTCATATAAATTTCACATAAAATAAAAAGTACTATCTGTAATATTAGAAATTTGCGCCTGGAAATACACCTTCATATTCTTTTGCTGGTAAAAATGTAACGACTCACATATGTTCTTTACTCACATTCGAAATTCTAATTGTAAGAATATTTAGTTATTTGTCCATATGGTTTATAATAATTATTATATTAATTTCAGTGGATTTTATATATTTATCTTTGGACTTGCATGCTTGGCGACTCTTGAGGATTGCTGGCAATCCTGGACAGATGTTGCTGATACCAAAGAACAACATGAAGATGTTGCTGAATATAAGGAGACAACATCAAAACAAAAAGATGGTATAGTGAGTGGCTTTTGATGGCATATTTATACAAAACAAGATTTCTGTTAACTTTGTGCATAATAAAAATTAAATATTTCAGGCTTTTGTCACAAAATACTTATGTCATTTTCTATAAAACGATCATGTGAGGAATTACTGAAAAATGAGCAAACAAGTGATGACATTCAATGCATTCATGGTATCAGAGCTGTAACCACCTTAATTTTATACTGTGCTCATAAACTTTTGCCAATTGCTAGGATTCCTTTCTCAACAGGACATTCCTAACTGAGGTACACAGAATTATATCAGATAATTTTATAATCAACTCATAAATATTTTTATGCAGCTTGCAAACTCTCAATGGAGTGTTTTTCTGAGAGTATCTTTGATATATACAGATACATTTTTATTATTGAGTGGCGTTTTGTCTGCGTACAATATGAGCAAGGATATGATGAGTAAAGGTGAAATTTCATGGTTTAAAAGACTTATCACTCGATATATACGGTAATTATAATATTGATACAAAGTATTTTATTTTAATTTGCAATAAATTAAAGGAATATTTATCTAGTGTAGACTCACTCCTGCTTTGGCAGCTGTAGTACTATTTTATGCCTATATTTGGGACCACATAGGAGGCGGGCCTCAGTGGTCAAATGTTGTCAGTGCAAATGCACGATTGTGCCAGGATAATTTATGGAAAAATTTGTTATATATACAGAACTTCTATCCTTTCGAGGAAATGGTAGGTCGCTAATAATAATATTCAACTAATGATTTGTCTCTAATTTTAATTTATTTTTATCCAGTGTGCGACCCATACCCATCAGCTTGCTCTGGACATGCAGCTTACAATTCTTGCACCAATTTTAGTATGGTTTTTATATAAGGCACCAATGTGGGGTCTTGCATTACTTGGTGGATTTCATTCCTTGTCTGTTGGTTTGAGATATTTTTCTACACTCAACCATCGATTGTCATTAGTGATTTTCCATGGAATATCGTAAGTTAAAAGACAAATTGTAGATGTCATAAAATACAATCATAGGTAATTCTAATTTAAACGATTGTAGACTTTCACAATTAATAAGAACTGCCAATCTTACGTATGCAATTGCTTGCATAGAGCTACTCCGTATCTTACTGGTGTTGGACTTGGAGTGATGTTGAAGAATACTGAAAAAAATGTCCGTCTTCCTAAGGTAATTAAAAATTACATATCTTAAATATTAATGAAAAAATCGTGTTATATGGATAAATCATTAAGCATGTAGTTCATATTAAGGGACTGATTCTGCCGCATAACAGAAAAATGTTATGGCAAGGCCATGTTAAGCTACAATTTCCGTACATTATGCTACTGAATGCTGTCAAATGTCATGTATGTGCTGTGCATTCGGGCGTTTTATACATAAACTGCAACGTCACGCGTATGTTATGAAGCTGTGTCAGAAACACCCTGTTATCTAAGATAGTTTTTTTTTTTGACATTTGAGCGGTTTCTAGGTTAGGTTTTCTATCTGACAACCTGAGTAAAACGCCTGACTGCACACTAATCACACGGCTTCTTCAATATTTAGTATGGAAAGTTGTTCATAATAACTTTTTCCTCACTATTCTAGAATGCCCTTTAATTTATTAGTATTTCATTTACTTATTTATTTAATAGGTGATAGTAGCATTAGGATGGCTGGGTGCTTTATATTTTTTCGGTTGGACTTTTAATGCACCAGCACATTTAGCTAAAAGAGATTACCAGTATAATGTAGAAGAAGCTGCACAATTTGCAGCATCATCTTCAGTAGCCTGGGCCTTGGCATTAAGTTGGCTAATTTTTGCTTGTCATACAAATAATGGAGGTATAAAAAATACATTAAGTTTTATAATAGAAATAAAAAAATATGAATTGTGTTTTTTAGGATCAATAAATAGTTTTCTGTGTAGTAGACCATTGATCCTGCTGAGCAGGATTTCCTACGCAATATATTTAGTACAGTTTATTATATTTTTCTATAATGTGGGTACTTATCGATCATCGACAGTTTTTGATGTTATGCAATCTGTGAGTATTTTATAATTTAGTAATATATATTATATATATATATATATATATATAAATCTCTAAAAACATGTCATATCAAAATTTAATACCTCTAATTGATTATGAGCTGTAGGTTGTAGGTACGATTGATTTTAAGTTTGGATCCTCTTTTTTTAAAGTAATCCAGTTCATCATAAAATTGAGTTTAAAATCTAATTGGAAATCTTTTGTAGTCTATTTCTATTATTTTAATTACATAGATTCTTATATTAATTATAATTTTGTTGCAGTTTAATGTTTTAGAATTTGTTGCTGTGATAATTGCATCAATTGTGGTTACTTTATTATTTGACACTCCTATGCAAGCTATAAAAAATATTATCATGAAATCGTCAAATGATCAGAAGCCTGTCGAAGGTAAATAACAATTCATAATTTAAACAAAATGCTGTACTTGTTTAAAATTCTTTTTATTTAGTGTTAGAAAATATTGATGATCAGCATCAGGAAGAAAATGTAACTAGTGGGAGTGAACAGGAAGATAATGTGCACTATCAATATCATAATTATAATTCACAAGAAACTGCTGATGTATCTCATGATTATGAAGATGAAGCAGGTGATGAAAATCAATATTATCGGCAAGAAAGTCAAGACAGCCAAGATATAAATCCTATTTCTGATAGAGAAATGAGCTTCGATGATGAACTAAGTACTGAAAGAGATCCAAATTCAGAAAGTGCTCAGGAATATAGTCATGATCTTCATGATTACGAATATAATGATGAATTAGATGAAGAAGATGCTACTGAACCTACTACTGAGAGAGAAATCGATGGTGAAGATCATGATCTTAAAGATTGGGAATGGACTGAAAATGAAGATAAAAGAAATGATGATGGGGCTGATGAAAATTGATAAGAAATATAATGTGAGTTTATTTTGATGTAAACTGAAGCTGCCATAAATTATTTAAAATTTAGAAAAATGTTAATTTATTTAATTTAAAAGGTTTTCCTAAACTAGCAACATGGAAACTTTCTACTGATTTGAATTTTGACCTAAATTATTTTTATCTCAAAGAGCAATTAGTTTTTATTAATAAACACCAAAATTTCGATATGACTACATGAAATTTTGACTTTGTACTTTTGATACCTATTAAAATGCATTGACGACTTTGTTTTATTACACAAGCGTGAATAAATACATCCACATTTGAAAACCAATTCAAAATAAAATATGATTTCGTAATCGAGTATAAAATAATTTATTTAGCTAAATACTGATATATACAAAAATCTTACAAACTATGAGGACATGCGGCTTAAGTACTATATCTAATTTAATTTTATATCACGCTTCATTATTTGTCTCCTGAGATTTTTTAGGTGATTTCATAACTGAAAGAGGTAATAGAAATTTATTATATTGTATATATTTTTAACTTATCTCACATATTTATTAATGTCATAAAAATAAAGACAGCGATATTGTATTTACTTACATTTGTCTATAAGAATTTTCTGCAAACCGTGCATCGGTGATTCGAACATTACGCACAATATGAGAGCTCCCAAAAATGTGAGGCATAAATGCGACAGACAGTCGGATAACTGAAAATTATAAATAAATTTAAAAGTTGTTTTATTCATAATTTTCTTAGGATCACAAATTATTACATATAATTTGTTTCAATTACTTATTTTATTGGGTATTATCCCTAAATAGGTTTGCATGTTTTGGTGGTATTTTCTAGGAAATTCTATTTTAATTTTATAAATATTAACTTACCAATGTGTATACACTCATATATCGTCCAGTTCTCACAGTGGCAAGTGCATATAATTCTATCAATCCATTCATCAAATATGCACAATAAGTTAATCGACTAAGAGGGACAAGAGCTCGCCATGACAGCAATTTGTTCAAGAAACCTAGAAAATAGATATAAATATGTAAAGCATTTAAGAAAAAAAGTTGCTAGAAAAATAAAATACTGAAATGTGGAATGTGCAAATGGATAATAATTTTTTACCTCTCACAATAATATGGAATTAGTTATTCTGCTTTTATTGCATCAAAATATCGAATTATTTCATCAAACTACATTTATTGTATCAAAATAATTTCTACTAAGTACTAACATATGAAAAAACTTCAAAGAAGATGAGAATTAACAGTTCTTTATTCTGTAATAGAATTAGAGATAGAATAGAATTAATAGTTCTTTATTCTGTAATAGAATTAGAATTCATATCAATCTAAAGGTTCAAATCTCTATCGATTAGTTAAAAGACATAAGACTCGGGTATTTGAAGATTTATACGGCATATGTACAAATATTTCCATGTTCCCTACCCAACGGGACGGGTACCCTGGAGTGCACACCAACCTCAACCTATGCGTCATTTCAGGTTGAGATCTTGTCTCGCGTACCGGTTAAGGATGGGCCATTTGAAAAAAAAATTGATTTTTGTTTGTCGAGATAATGAAATAATGATACATGTAGTTAAAAGATGGTTAAAGGTAAATGAAACACATTTCACAAAAACTATATATTCAGTTAGTAAATATGTCAATTTAAAGTTATCATCGCGATAAAGTTAGAAACTCGAAAACTTGAACAAGAGGTGTTGGAATATTTTAAGCCGATTTTAGATTTGCTATTTGTGGATCCTTATCTACCCGAATACATTAGTTTTGCAAGGATTTGTGTTGCAAAACTCAAAATAAGAGATATTACTTATCTAGTTCAATAAAATTAAATTAATATGATAAAATACATCATTCAAATAGTGGAGAGGAAAGTGTTACTCCAATGTTAATATAATAGAGTATAATATAGTATTATTGATAAATCAAATATAATAAGAATAAATTTAAACTTTCATTAAAAGGATAAAACATTGCCTCTAAAAGAACAGCCGACATGACCGATTGAGTATTTACCTCTCATGTCAGATTGAATCTCGGTATTGTATACAAAAATGTTGATTTACTTGAAAAATATTCTTTTGACACCAAAAATAACGTATTATAAAGCACTAACAGTGATATATAAAAATTAAATGATTAGTATTTTTCTACCATTATTAGAGAAAATTTATAATAACTGGTATGTGGTATAGAAATGAGAAATGGCCATAAAATTTGAGGTACGTAAGAGGTACTCAGATCGAATCTCGGTACTATATACAAAAATTTTGACGTACTTGAAAGATATATTTTGGAACCAAAAATAACGTATTAAAAAGCGCTAATAGTGATATATAAAAATTGAATGATTAGAAATTTTTCTAGCATTATTTGAAAAAATTGATAAGAATTGGTATGTGGTATAGAAATGACAAATGGTATAACCACAAAATTTGAAGTTATAACATTATTGAACTTAAGTAGGTTATAGGTACGATCGATTTTAAGTTTAATTAAATAATTTTCTATACATATAGATATACCATACTATAATAATTATATTTGAAATATGTGTAATCCAATTCATCATAAAATTGAGTTTAAAATCTAATTGGTATTGACAGTAAAGAATTGTGTTTTCATATTCATTATATTGAACGATCAGTTTCAAGAAAATTGAGAAGAAATATTCCTAAAGACAATATTCAATGTAAATGCATTGAATGCATTACTTGCTTTGGAGAATTGAGCTGAATTGGTGAATTATTTATTGTGACAACATTATAAGTGTGTCTATAAGAGTGATTTTATAGGTATTGAACCTAATAGCTCATAGGACATTTTATACGAATTAAAATATTAAAAAGTCTATCTTGCTATACTTGCCCGTAGGTAAGCGGTTAAGAGCGACGGGACTTGATTTAGAGGTCCCGGATTTGATATCCAAAAGCAATAGATTTACGCTTGGAAATATAAATAGCAATATGTTTTCAAGTGAAATCAGCCCTCGCCCGGCATTGCTGCACCAATAAAAAAAGTGTCAGCCCTATTAGATGAATTCTAATAATAATAAAACATCAAATATGGATGGATTAACCATTGGGTTATCATATCTAAGAATACAAAGTAAGGAGTAGTTTCAGCTCAACAGCTTATAGGACGTAGTATGAGGTCTATGTAAATAAGTCATATTTCTTAATCTCACCTCCATGGCCAGTGGCACAAGCGATAATCAGCCACCCAGTGCCAACGCACCAGGCAAACCTATGCAACCCTGCATACAACGCCGAGGTCATAGGATCAGCCACGCTGTCAGGCTGGTAAAACGCGGTCACCGAGAACATGGACCCTGCTCCAGCCAGGAGTCCAACCGCCCAGCCGCAGCAAACTACCCATGGTGAAAATGTCCTTTGTCTTATTGCAGATGTCGTCCCATTGTTGGTGGTGTCGGAACTGTTACATACGTTATATTGATGCACATCGGGCCTGAGTTGACACACAGAACGAGCAGAAGCAACATACAGGTGTTAGAGTGTTAACACAAAGAATAAAGACATGTGGGTGTGAAGGAAGAAGTTTTTGTTAAGCGTTATTGTTATTTACGTTGAAAGAGAAAGTGAGTCAGGTATGTGTAACAGAAGTGTTCTGTAGATTTATTTATAAGTTATTTACATAAAAAATGCATTTACCTAGTTGTGTCTATGATAACGTATATATGCTTTATTTAAATTGCTGGAATGTTATATCATTTTGGATAATATTCAAGTGAATAACAAATTAAAATAATATGCTGATGGTAAAATTCGGATGAAACCTATTTTATTTTTAATCGGTTATTTAAATTATTTTTAAAGCGATTTATTTATGAGAATCGGTGGCAATAAATAAAGTCAAAACAATTACTGAATGTCCTAAGTGTGGCAAATTGTAATTAAAATAAAAAAAACGATTTATTAACTTCCCGTAGAGCAAGTTATAGTAATCGCAAAAAAATCGAAAATGAAAATTTTTATATATCTTTACGTTTCAGAACCTTCTGAACATTTTGGCATACCTTACAAAAAATGGATGTATGTGCGTGTGTGTATGTGTGTGTGTGTGTGCGTGTATGTATGTGTGTGCAGATACAAATTTTCGTCGACGATTTTGCGAGCACGGATAAAACAATTTGAATAATTCAAAAAACATTCGTTTCGTATTGATAAGGAAACGTGCTGATTAGTTTTTGGCGAAGGCAGGTCTAGCCGTTCCGAAGATACGGGGCAAAAAGTGCCAAAAACGGTAACTCAGTTTTTAAGAGAATGGAGCGTCCGATTTGAATAATTCAAAAAACATTTTACTTGTATTGACACGATAAAGAATTAATCAATTTTTATGGAGGCAGGTCTAGTGGTTTCGGAGATCTAATGCAAAAAGTAAAAAAATTCCATTTAGCGGTCAAAAATTAGGTTGTCACAAAGAATGCGAGTAGATACATCATTATTTAGTAATTATGATCTATTTCAGGAACCAATTATGCCGTAAAAGAGACTGATGTTATGGCAGGTTATGTTATGTAGCATTTTTCAATAAAGTGGTACTAAAAACTGTCAACATCTTATGTGGTTGCTGTGCAGTCAGGTGTTTAAATTAAAAACCCAACCTAGAAAAGGCACAAATGTCAAGAAAACGTAAAAAAGCAATGTTATCATAGCTGGATCTTTGAGATATGGCTTGATCACATATGAGTAAAGTTGTATTTTATATGTAAGACGCCTGATTGCCATGTATTTCCTGATAATGACATTTTGACAGTATTTAGTTGCATTTTGTATGAAAACTGGAACGTAAAATAACTTGCCATAATATTGGTCTATTTTACAGCAGAATCGGCCCGTAAATCACCGTTTCTGAAATTAATTTGAACCATTTAACTGTGTCGCCCACATTAAGCACATTGCCCCTTTTTTATCGTCAGAATCAGAATCGAGGTAAAATTTGTTATGTAAAATGCCACTTACAATTATTTTTTCATATTGACCTAGCCTAAAATTTATCTAAATATCTTGAGAGATATGTTGAGAATACGTTTAGTTTTTACGTTTTTTTCTTCTATTCTGTTTAGTTGATAGGTTTTTCTTTTTTATTCAAAAATTGCAATCTAAATAGCCAAAGGTAAATGGTTTGTATGAATGACCACAACACAAAATTATACAACTTCTTCATGACGAGTATATTCGTCAATTACAGTTAATGGTTAAATAACACATTTAATCAATCTTCAAATTAATGCTTAATTTATTTTTTACAACGACAAGTTCAAATTATTATTCATGCCTATTTATCGTCTATTTTTGCAAAAATATACTGTTTAGAAATATGTAATACTATGAGCATTTGAGATAGAAGTTTTAAATAGTACTAAAAATTCGATGATATAAAAAACTTATTTAACAAGGCATTGCTTTTATACTATTGAGAACTGTAT